CCCTCCCCACACACACAAACAAACAAACGTACATACTCTCCCGTCATGTCCTCTGTACACCGAGTGCTTGTCAGTGGTGGAGGATTTTATGGCAGGGCCCAGCAGCAATCACACCAGACCACAAGTACCCCCAGTGGAGATCAATACTTCGATACCCAGCTGATGTTCTGTGTGTGTGGGGGAGGGGGGGTGCGATAGTTCTTACGAAAATTTACAACGGGGTTCCTGATCAGGGATTTAAAGGAACGCTGTACCTATTGCAGAAGTTATTGTGAATAATTCATTCGGAAAATCAGAAAATTGTAAATAATACATTCATGATATTGTGAATAATACATACAGAACATTGTGAATAATACGTTCAGAAATCTGTAAACAATACATTCAGAATATTGTGAATAATATACATTTAGAAAATTGTAAACAATACTTTTAGAAAACCGTGAATAATTCATTTAGAAAATACATTGTATTTCTACTTGTGTGTGCGCACGATTTTAACAGTCTTAAACGAGAACTTAGTTTATATTTGATAAACGCGTTATGGTAAGACAGCACGCTGTAACTGGCCATCGTTTGTGGTGAAATAGTCAGCCTCTTCGTCTTGCGTGCAGAGGACCGGAGTTTGATTCCCAAGCGGGGAGTATAATAATGTTTTACAGAGTATGTCTTTGTTTCTGCTGGAATGTATCCCACACAGTACTGTCAGAGAGTTTACTGGTACTATTGCATTGTGCCTGGCGGGCCTGTTTCCTGGATTACTGAAACTGTTTTGATTGTGGCCAACCTATACTAGGTCTATTCTCTGTATGTGAGTGATGATAGCCGAGAACATCGACTTTATATTTCTTCAGACTTGCATCTGAGTGATCATTTCGAACATCATTGACCTAATGATTTTTCAGACGTTTAACTCCGAGAAAACATCCAAGTACATCTACATGTACTTTATACTTTTACAGACACGCAAGTGAGTGTTATTACGAAATAATAATTACTGCTTTGTAAGCTTGCTGACATAATATATATGAGTGATTCTTTAATTAATATCGACTTTTGTGTTTGCTTTTGCAGAAGTCAAGTTTAACAGCAGGCCACACAAGCTGAGAGTAACAAACCTCTGGATCCAGGCATCATCTTTGTGTGTTTCCAGCAACGACTATGAGCTAATCTACCTTCACAAAAGCTGTACTTCGGGGGGAACTTTCCTTGTTGAGGTCCATCGCTTCGTTTAACGAACCTAAAATTTTCTCCCAATGGAACCTGAACAACCTAATTATTTCCATACAATTTTCCAGACTGGAAAGTTATGAAGTAAATTAGAATGATTATGGCTTCGCTTTTTTGCGACTTTCTGGGACAAATTCCGAGTAAGGATTACAGAAAAATCTCCCAAAAGTCTCATTCGTCACGCCGTGTCCAGATGATGGAGCAGGAAGTTGTGGGAGAACCCGCACAGACAGACACAGAGCTGGACGTCTCGTATTTGGAACAACGTAAAATATCTTGCCTACCACGGTGTCCAGAGACAGAGAGAAGTACAGTGTGTGGCCACCCGACTGTCGTGGCTCTCTCATATCATAAGGAAAGTGATACTAACTTCCGGTTGCTAGTTCCAACGAGTGGGAATTCGAAATGCCAAATTGGACGTCAGAGTTCTGAGAAAACGCAAAGTGGAGGGATGGATCTGTGCGGTTCAGATGTTCAGTCTAGAATGTTCGGAGGAATGAGGCGTGGTGGGAGAACGTATGAGAACTGTCCTAGCCGTTTTGTCTCAGGTGACTTCGCATGGAGAAATATCGTCATCTCTGTTTTGCTTCTCTTTACAGCACCTTTAGGTAAGTGTCATGCTTCTCGCTTTGTAAAAACTTTGCACATTGATATGGTTCACTACATGTAAAAGAAGAAAAAAAAAAACAAGAGCTCGGGTAGGGTAGGCTTCAAAAGAATTCTGAACTGGACTTAAAGAATTTTTCTTGCAGTGC